CAGATAGGAACTGGAAACACAGGGAATCCGGGACAGATGATCCCTTCAGGACCAGTGCTGAGAGTGGCAATACCGGGAGGGTGGAGGGAGGGTGGGGTAGAAAGGGGGAACTGATTACAAGAATCTACAAATAACCTCCTCCCTGGGTGATGGACAACAGGAAAATGGGTGAAGAGAGACATTGGATAGTGTAAGATAGGACAAAATAACAATAATTTATAAATTATCAAGTGTTCATGAGGGAGGGGGAGCAGGGAGGGAGGGGAAAATATGAGCTGATACCAAGGATTCAAACAGAAAGCAAATGTTTTGAGAATGATGAGGGAAATGAATGTACAAATGTGCTTGACACAATGGATGTATGTTTGGATTGTGATAAGAGTGGTACAAGCCCCCAGTAAAATGATTAAAAACAAACAAACAAACCTTCATATATGTGGTTCTATTTCTCCCTCCCATCCCACTGACCTTCCCCCTCAAAATCCCATCACTCCCCTCTTCTGTTTCTACCCCCTGTCCCTGGCCTTGTCATTGTCATCAAAGTCCTGTCTACTGGTGTAAAAGCCATATTTGTGTCATCTTCTTTAAGTGTAAGTAATTTGGAATTCTACAGAGGGAGAAACGGAAGTTCCCAGGATTGTTAGTTACTTGGTGCTCAGGGTAACACAGGGTTTAAATCATATTTTAATTGTGTCTTTGACTGAAATACCTGGCAGCAGGTTCTCCAATGAAAGGATTTTTTTAGTGACTAGAAATAAAGAAGCTAAGCAGCAAATTCCTCATTTCAATACATGTTGAAATATATTGACCTCCATTCTAGTTAATGTGGGAAACAGACCAGAGTTAATCTTTAGTTATTCATTACTTTGGCTACTATTTATTTAGTTAAAAGACTGAAGGAGGAAAAAATGGCCCCAGGGTGTCTTCCGTTTGCAAACCTGGTTTGACCTTCTCATGGCTGTAAACTTTTAGTATGATTTCAGACAATGCTTTTAAATCTTCTGATTGTCTACCACATCATAAAACGTGGCTTTGGGAAGTATCTTTATCTCTACCCCTGTGAGGCTCTTCTTGAGAAACACAGGACTGAACAGAAGGAACAAGAAACAGGGATCCACTCCTAGAAAGAAGTCTGATCCTGGAAAGCCCCGTCATTACACAAAGGCTCTGACCCTTAAACCGCTCTCGAGGCCAGGCGTTGACAAAAGTAATAGTAGTTACCAGCTGCAAGGAGGAGGAGGGACAGGAGGATTAACCGGGATGGAAATGAGAAAAAGCCCATTGATTCAGGTGGGGTTTCCCAGCCAATTATAATTGCTGTCTATAAGAGGTACACAAAAGTAGAGTGCTTTCCTAGAAACCGTGTACACTGTTGTACTTCCAAATAATAAAACCCAAGAGGTATGGAACAGATGTTTGTGCAGAGATGCTAAAGTATGGTTTGTAATGTTGCATGGGAACATATGGAGTAAACTCAGCAGCTACTCATATAATTTCAACAAGTAGGAGAATAACAGTCCCAAGAACCATTCACCGGCAAGGAGTGAAATTACTGCTGTGGGAATTCATTTTGTGCATGATAAACACACATGCCATCTGCGGCCTGATCTTCAGGGCTTTTCTGAAACCTTCGAAAGTCATACCTGAAACCTTGGCACGTCTGAGTCTGAGGGAAGGAGAAGGACTCACAGCACCTGGCAGCCGAGCTGCGGAGGCCCTTTCTGCCACGTTTTAGAAATTCCGATCTGCTCCTGCTTGGGGTGGAAGGCCATAACTGAACCAGCTTGAACTGGTTTGAAGCCCTGGAATTTGAAGAGAATTGAACTTCTGCATTTATAAAAGTCCCAGCACTGTTACTTCCACAGACAAAACACTCAGGAACTGAATTGATGAATCAGAGAAAATCCGTGCAACAAAGACCTCCTGGCAACTCAATGTGTGCGTTTGTCCAGGAGCTGCGCCCTCTGCAGGCGGAACCTTCGTGAAGCCCTGTCACCACGCGGCGCTGGCTGCTGCGTTCCTCTGTCTAGCACGTGCACACTTTTGAATCCTTGATATCATGCCATTGTAAGAAAACTTGTTATAATTGGAGTGCCAAACATGATTGACATCATTTCTGGAGTTTGCAATCTCCCAGACAGTTGTATTTGTATTTAGATGAGGATCCATGGGGTGCTCAAGTGAAAAATAAAAATTTTAATTAATTTATATCTCAGTCTAAAAAGAATTTAAGGTGGTTTAAAGAAATGAATCTGTGCCCCCACTTGAGTGCTCTCTCATTCTCCGTGTGTGTGTGTGTGTGTGTGTGTGTGTGTGTTCAGCAAGGTATAGAACCAAAGACCAAGTAAAGAGTTTGTTCTACAGATACATGAACATCCTAGTAGTCGTTTGTATTTTTAAAAACCCATAAATTAACATATTAACATGTTAAATAATCAGAGATTTCATTTTTTAACAGATATTATCTTCCTTCACTGATAAAGAACTCCTGGCTTACGCGAAAGCTGGAGCGGTAGCTGAAGAGGTTTTAGCAGCAGTTCGCACTGTGATTGCATTTGGAGGACAAAAGAAAGAACTTGAGAGGTTGGAGGCTCTTTTTCGGGTTGACGGAAATGTTGAATGATACATTGAGACATTCCCCCGATCTCAGGGTCAGTGATAGGAATAGGCTCCAGTATGTAGGTTTCCCTCCGTAGTTTAATGGGTGTATTATCCACCACGACTCCTGCCTGTGCTTCAGCCCCAGCACGTGTGTCATGTTGGAGAAGTCATTCTGGTTGTACTTCTCTCAAAGGATATTGAAGGGGTCCCTAGGTGGATAGTAACAATTACAAACCAACAGTTTACTAAGGCTGAAACATATTTTATATTTGTAATAATCTTTCTCACCCAATTCTTGATTCTCTAAGATTGAATGAGTATAAAGCCTATGGGTATATTCTAAGGTGTGATAGGTTTCTGCTCTTGCTTAGGCCACCAATCAGTTGAAACATGCACTGTAGTTGGGCAGGTAAAAATATAACCATAAGGCATATTCATACAAAGTCCAAAATCATTTTTATTATGTGCTGTGTAGTATTTTCAGTATGAGATTTCTGAGTTGATGGATAGTAGCTGCATTGAAATTTATATTATTTGTTAGATCCTTTGGATTCTGAACAGCAGTAGAGTATTAAAACATTGAGTATATATTGTGATAATATGCTAAGAATTATATAACTATGAATATTTCTGTTCATATATGAAAGTTGGAGGGAAAGTAAACTATATTGCTTGGGATGGTATATTAGGTGGTAAGATAAACCATCGATATATTTGGTGGCAAATCTCTAGAACAAAGGACATTTTTATGATATGTAAAACAATTGAGGGATGAGGCCTTGTATGGCTAAAGAAGTGGGGACATAGCAGGAAGCTTTTTATGGTTTGCGAGATCTCTGTTTCTTGGCCTTAGTTGTGCTTACAAGAGTATTTCTCTGTAATTATTCTTTAACCTGTCAAAATGTGCTTATGGTGTTCTTTTAACCGTATGCTATATTTCACATGGATGAAGATGTCCTCTGGGAATGATTTGTTATATTTAAATTCCCTTATTCAAAGGAAAGTATTGATGTTCTATAGCAATGTTTCTTGGGTTTTGTTCTTTTGTCTTAAAATATGTACAATCATTAAATGAGAAATCTTGCTTAGTGATCTTGTACACAACAGTCCAGTAAAGCATTTGCTGTAATAGAGATTAAATGCTAACAAGAGGAGAGGTGGGGTACAGAATCAAGCAAAAGCCTCAGCCATCATGTGGGATCTATACTATTTGAGGAAATACAGCACTCTATGAAAAGACAACAAGAAGGGGTTTTATTTAGAGGTTGAGCAAAGATCAGAGTGAAGTTTTAAAATTAGGGTGCTTTACCAGTTCCTCAGGAGAAAAGTGGACCAGAAATAGAATATGTCCATTAGCATAGGGAGCGAATCAGAAAGCTTATCTGCTGCTTCCTAGTTTCTCAGCAGGGGAATACATCTCCCCTCAGAAACCAAAACCTCAGCTCCAAGCCTCATGTGCACTTGGGTTCAGCATATGTGCTCCTCTCAGGAGCCAGGTGGCACAGAGGTTAAACATTGGGATGACAATCATAAGGTCATTGGTCCAAACCCTCCTGCCACTCCTTGCGAGAAAGATAAGGCTTCTGCCCTCATAAGCATCTATAGTCTTATAAATTCTAAGGAGCAGCTCCACTCTACCCTGGAGGGTTGCTACGAGATGGAAATTCCTTGACGGAGTAGGTTTAGTGAGATGAATTATAGAAGGAACTCTGGTGGCACAGTAGTTACAGAGCTCAGTTGCTAACTAGAGGCCAGAGGTTCAAAACCCCCAGCTGCTCACTGGGAGAAAATGCCACAGTTGGCATGTCTTACTGTATACAGGCATGGAAACCGTATGGGGCAGTTCTACACTGTCCTGTAGACATACTATGAGTCAGAATCAACTCAATCGTAGTGAAGGTGGACTATGGAACTGTTTCTTCCCAAAGATGAGAATTCACATTAAAAATGGGGCCGAGAAAGAGAGAGAGACCTAACCCAGTGATAACACTAGGATTTCTGGTAAGAGAAATGGGGGAAAAAATCACTAAAAATCAATGAGATACATGTCCAAATTTAGTAGTTAGGAAAAGACCAATGGAGTAAATAAATTAATTAAATTAAATTAACTACAGAGGAACAAACATTAAGAGCAAGTAGGGTTAGAAAGTTGATGATTGACAAATCTATAAACCAATCCTTGAAAAAAAATTATAAGATAAACAAGTAAGATAATTCTCATTATCTTAATGAGAATTAAGATAATGGAATCCTCCCATGAATTTTTTGAAGCCCCCGTGGTTACAAATTTAATCCTTTTATTAATTTTTTAAGCATAGTCTTCTTAATGAGTGATCCAGGGGATGTGACATGATAGTTCATTGTGGTTTTGATTTGCATTTCAAAATGCCTGTATAAAAGTACGATTGCTTTCTCCTCCCTCCTTATCCTCTTTCTTTCATTTACTTTTTCTGGTGTCTAAATTGTCTTCTTTCATGTTATTGCTTCTTTCTATGCTAATGTTTCCTCTGGCTGCATGGGACAACATCCTATCAATGAAATGATTTCTGCAGTAGTCTGGGTAAGCGAGAACTAAAAAGAGGAGATAAAAGGACGTGAGTCATAAGTGTTAAAGTCCCTTAAATGTAATCATGTATAATTTATGTCTAGTAATTCATTTCCCCTCAGATAAATGCTTTATAAAGGAGGAAGTACTTATTAACCATTGAAAAATGTTTCTCAAAAATGATTTTATTGTTGTTGAGATACTACAACTGGCAAATTGGGGATTTACAGTATTACTAGAGGAAAAGCTCTAAAACTTTATCAATATTTGATCACTGTAATGTTCTTTTTAAATGTGATCTTCATGGACAAGGTTGTCATTATAAATTTCATGGGGCTGCTATTATAAATATATAAATATAGCAAGCTCTTAAAAGCTGTCATTCAGGAAAGAAAGAGTTTGTGTTCATATCTGGGCACTGCTTGACTTCTGCCACTTGAGTACATTACAAACTAATAGAATAAATTCACCAAAGAAAATAAATGAATTTCTTTAATACTTATAGTCATTCATTGTATGGACCAAAGACATCAAAATAGGAACTATACATGTGGGTTAGTCTGGGTAGACAAGAGAAACAAATTCATTCACACTCATATGTATAAGAAAAGGTTTTTATACAAGAGCAGTTGAATATTGAGAAAACATCCTAGGCCAGTCCAGATCAAGTCCATAAGTCTAATGTTAGCCCATATGTTGGACACCAATCTATAAAGTCCTCTTCAGACTCACAAAACACATGCAATGATGCTGGATGCAGGCAGATCACAGGCCAGTGGGTTGGAAGTCTTATACATCCAGCGGCATTGTAAGCATCTCAGTGCTGGCAAGGGTCTCTACATGGCTTCTCCAGGTCCAGTGTTCTGGCTGCATCAGCCAGATCAGTCCATGTGGATTCTCCTCAGGGATTAAGCAGAGAGAGTGTTTCCAAGGGAGTGGCAGAGAGAGAAGGTGTCTCCCACCTCGAGGAAGAAAATACAGGAGTTCCCGGAATTCTCAGGAGAAGGCCTTGCCCACACAGAGGCCTCATTGGCTATGACCTGACTGACAGCCTAGACTCCACATCTTCATTCTTAATCCTCTCAAGTCCCAAATTGACACCAGATTATGTAACTAACACAACATGTAAGTCATTAGTCCATTTCAAAATTTAATTATGAGCTCCTTCTTTAAACAAAACAATGTCCTAGATGTTGTAGGGAATAGTGATTAAGAGGACAAAGACAGATTTGAAGCTATATTATAATCTATTCTACTTCTCTAATAATTTTAATTTTGTTCAGTATTTGCAGATATTTTTCCTTTTCATCTGAGCCCATTAATTTATCTCTACATCTCTTCCAGCAGAATATATACTGCTTAAGTTACAGTTAGCAACTCTTTTAAATTCAATGGCAGAAGTTTCCCAAGGGGTTAAAAGTACTTAAATTCACATTGGAAATAATCATTACTTTGATAGAATTGAGTTAGGGAAATTTTCCTTAGATTATAGCGTGGGTTTAGTTGGCTTGCCTGCTTTTGCTGCTTTTTGTGTCATTCATTGTATTTGTTCTAAGAATGGATGTTCTACAAGTTTGTGTAAAATACAGCACAGCCTTGTGCTATGAATGGGTCGCAGGTTATAGGTGTGTGTTTTGATTCCCTCTGCCTTGAGGTGGCTGGGAACTCTGAAGGTGATTGGACTTGCCAAGCCAGAGCTCCTTACTCCCACAACAAGCAGCTGTGACGTGAATAATGTTGGGAAGCACTGACGGAGGGGATAGATCTGTAAGCCACGAGTACAAGAGTGGAGGAATGAGGACACTGAGAAGCAATGATGGACTATTATATTTTTAAGCCAAATAATTAGTTTAGGTCACTGGTTTTTTAAATGTCCCATGGAAGTAAGTTAACACTTAGTCATTTAAAGTATGAAAACTATTACTAAGCGATTCAAAGCTCACAGAATGTTGTCACACAAGTATCTTCTAATTTGGTCCTTCCAGCAGTCCCTGAAAGAGACTGGCAGAGAGTAAGCTGTCTGCCAAGCTTCCTCAAAGCTCAGAGAACGAAATGATATATTTGACATATTCTAGAACCACATTAAATATTAATAAATGACACAAATGTTTCTGTGGCTTTTTGCTAAATATCTCTTTACTGATTTCACCACTAATAATGTGTGAGTACGACATTTTAGAAGACTCCCACACAAAGTACTTCATCTCTAAAGCCCCAATTTCCTCTTCTACAAAAGGAAAAAAAAAAAAGTTGATGTAAGGAGAAAATGCACGTAACTACATTTACTACAGGGCTCAGCACATTCTAAGCACTATTTACCATCATGCTAGATTGGTGTGTCTGTATTTGCCCTGATACATTTTCATAATGCTTATGAGCGTATGTGGTCATTTTTGTTCCTTCTTCTAGGTACAACAAAAATTTAGAAGAAGCTAAAAGGATTGGGATAAAGAAAGCTATTACAGCCAACATTTCTATGGGCGCTGCCTTTCTGCTGATCTATGCATCCTATGCCCTTGCCTTCTGGTATGGGACCACCCTGATCCTCTCAGGGCAGTATTCTATTGGAAAAGTACTTACTGTAAGTCATCTTCAGAAATGAATTATATTAAAATGCTAATGAAATTGACTGGCTGGAGCTTGACATCAGGAGAACCTATTTGTATTATTAGCTCTAATAATACAAAGAGATTCACTATTAGATTAAAGTCAAAAGGAAAAGTGGCAAGGAAATTAGATTCATCTAATCATTTTATTGTCTTTTTTTTGCCCATCTCTTGCACAAATTCTCCTGATGTCCAAATAATAGTGATGTTACCAACCTTTGTAAGATGAACTCTCATTTGTGGAGGTAGTTCCTTTGTGAGTCTGTGCATGTCAAAATACACAGGTTAACTTCAAATTTTGTGGAAAGATAGCTCATCATATCCCAAATTTATAGGCTTATTAATCTGTATTCTTCCAATAAAAGATTATTTTGTTTAGAGGTTCTCCACCGTGTAGGCCTTTGCACAGCAGAGAAAGCTTGCTTAGTGACACTGCCCTCTCTCACTTAGACAATGAAAGAGCCCACACACCAAGCTCACTGTGTATCCTGATCAAATAAAGTACATAATAAGACAGTCTACCAATTCCCCTTTCATAGGTCAAGCACAGTGTATTCAGTTAACAAGAGACCATATTTTGTTTAGTTCGCCAGGTCAGTAATTGTTCTTTTGTGCCTCATCCAAAATGTGTGAGGTGGCTTTTGAAGAAAAGGTTTTACTAAGACAGTGGTGCTGTGGGTGAGGCTGTGTTCTGATATGAGATTTTATACCCACTAGTCACTGAATCTGAGTTTGTCTCACTGAGAAGAGACGTCCAGAATAGCTCAGTTAGAGTGCAGGATTTGGGATCCGACTGACTTTGTCCAATTCCAAACTGTGCCATTTTTATTAGCTCTAAGATTTGGGGAGGGGATTGTCCCAAGACTTTTTACACTTCAGTTATCTACCTGCAAATGTAAATAAAAGGATAGTGGATCATAACTTGTCATATTGCTATGAGGAGTATATTGAGCTAATGAATATAGTATTACATAGCAAAGTGACTCCTGTGCAAATATTGGGGAGTATAATTCCCATTTATTTTAAAAGACACTAATAGTGACAACAGCTCTTTAATCCAGAAGTGAAACAATGTCAAGTTTTTGCCAATAAGAAAATCATTTGTGCAAAATAAAAAGTCAAAAAACCAAAAGTCTAGTTATCAAAATTCATAGTACACTATGGGAAAAAGACTTAACCTGAGAAAGCAGAATGCCTTGGGTGTATGTGCTTTATACGTTACACACTATTTTCGTACAGGTTCTGATTGATCTGTTACATTTGGTTGCTAGGTAGGGGGAATAGATGAAATCTTGCCCATTTTTGTAAATGAGAAAAGTGAGACCCAGAAATTGTCTAAAGACATCCAGCCAGGTAGTGCTAATCTAGGGCTTCTGACTCTTCTAATGCTGTTTTCGCTGTACCTCGCTGATGGCGTAAATAGAAACTTGCAACCATTGAAATGATCTGATAATACTCATTGTAATATGTCGGTTCTGTAGAACTCTTTTGATGATTTGACTGAGCAGGTAAGACCAGGCTTTCATTTTAAACTCTAAAATAGTTCAACTTTTTTGTTCACCATCTCGTATTCATGTGTGGTCTTGCCATTTTAAGCTTCACGAGCTGTGTTAGAAGACCAACCACAGGCCATTGCACTTAAGTGTTGTTGTTTTTCTTTTCCTTTCTTCAGGTGTTCTTCGCTGTGCTGATTGGCGCTTTTAGCATTGGACAGGCGTCTCCAAGCATTGAAGCGTTTGCAAATGCAAGAGGAGCTGCTTTTGAAGTTTTCAAGATCATTGACAATGTAAGTCTACGTTGATTGTTTTCCATTTATCTAACCTCATTCTAGTTGAGGACCAATTTCCTTACCATTTTATCCAGCTCTCTCAAAAAATGTCATGAAAAGTAGTTATTAGAGTGGTAACCTTGTAAATATTTATTCTACGTAGAAGTCCAGCATTGACAGCTATTCTGTGAGTGGACACAAACCAGATAACATTAAAGGAAATCTGGAATTCAAAAATGTTCACTTCAGTTACCCATCTCGAAAAGAAGTTAAGGTACAGTAATACATTATTTTTTTAATCGTTTTATTAGGAGCTCATACAACTCTTATCACCATCCATACATACATCAATTGTGTAAAGCACATTTGTACATTCCTTGCCCTCATCATTCTCAAAACACTTGCTCTCCACTTAAGGTTCTGGCATCAGCTCCTCATTTTTCCCTTCCCTCCTCGCTCCCCTCTCCCTCATGAACCCTTGATAATTTATAAATTATTATTTTGTCATATCTTGCCCTGTCCGATGTCTCCCTTCACCCACTTTTCTGTTGTCCATCCCCCAAGGAGGAGGTCACATGCAGATCCTTGTAATCAGTTCCCCCTTTCCAACCCACCCTCCCTCTCACACCAATGGTCCTGAAGGGATCATCCACCCTGGATTCCCTGTCTTTACAGTTCCCATCTGTACCAGTGCACATCCTCTGGTCTAGCCAGACTTGCAAGGTAGAATTCGGATCATGATAGTGGGGGGAGGGGGGAGGAAGCATTTAGGAACTAGAGGAAAGTTGTAATTTTCATCGTTACTACATTGCACCCTGACTGGCTTGTCTCCTCCCCGAAACCCTTCTGTAAGGGGATGTCCAGTGAGCTTTGGGTCTGCCCGCCCCCCTCCTCATTCACTATAGTAAGACTTTTTGTTCTGGTGATGCCTGATACCTGATCCCTTCAACACCACGTGATCGCACCGGCTGGTGTACTTCTTCCATGTGGGCTTTGTTGCTTCTGCGCTAGATGGCCGCTTGTTTACCTTTAAGACCCCAGACACTATATCCTTTGATAGCCGGGCACCATCAGCTTTCTTCACCACATTTGCTTATGCACCCAGTAATACATTATTAAACAATGTACGGGACATAGAGTTTCTGATAAGTTCCTTCAAGGGGTTGTAAAATAAGGCATATTTAACCCTAGCTTGGAACTGTCAATTCATCAACCCTATATATATTTATTGACTTTGTGTCTATTTTTTTCTCATTTTTTCTGGTAGATCTTGAAGGGTCTCAACCTGAAGGTTCAGAGTGGGCAGACCATGGCCCTGGTTGGGAACAGTGGCTGTGGGAAAAGCACAACAGTCCAGCTGATGCAAAGGCTCTATGACCCCACAGAGGGCACGGTGAGACAGCCTACACAAAGCCACGCGCCGCAGACACCAGAAGTTATGACTGCAGATCTTTCTGATATCAGCATTTAAACTCTAACTGTATGAAAATCACCCTTTTTAATTTCAGATCAGTATTGATGGACAGGACATTAGGACCATAAATGTAAGGTATCTGCGGGAAATAACTGGTGTGGTGAGTCAGGAGCCCGTGCTATTTGCCACCACAATAGCTGAAAATATTCGCTATGGCCGTGAAAATGTCACCATGGAAGAAATCGAGACAGCTGTCAAGGAAGCCAATGCCTATGGCTTTATCATGAAACTGCCTCAGGTAAGTTGGCCGTCACCTGTGCCAACGCCAACAGTTCCAAGAATATAATAATAGTGGCCTGATACTTTGGACGTAAGGGAGAAACCTCTTAACACAGGAAGAGCCTCCAAAGAAGTAAAATCAAGATGATTTCAGTAGCAGCCACCACAGGAGTCGTAGTGGGGTCGTGGTCGGTTATGTGTTGGGTGACTACTAACTGCAAGATGAAATAGTTGAGACTCCCAGGTGCTCTGCAGGAGAAAGATAGGGCTTCTACTCCGATAAAGAGCCATGGTCTTGGAAACTCCTAAGGGCAGCGCAACCCTGTCCTACAGGGTCACTATAAGTCAGAGTTGCCCCGGTGGCAGTGAGGAGAGTAGTGGCAGCATCAACTAGTAGTGGATTAAAAAAAAAACATTACTGAAGTTGGTGCTGCTGTCTTTTAAAGAACAGGATCCTCCCCTGTGAGATTGGGGCTGTTGACAGGATTACTTCCCATCTCAAAATGTGAACTAAGAAATATGTTCTTCAGCTAAATCGACTCTTGTGTATTCTTTGTTGTAGAAGTTTGACACCCTGGTTGGGGAGAGAGGGGCCCAACTGAGTGGCGGGCAGAAACAGAGAATCGCCATCGCAAGAGCCCTGGTCCGCAATCCCAAGATCCTCCTGCTGGACGAGGCCACGTCAGCCTTGGACACGGAGAGTGAGGCCGTGGTTCAGGTGGCTCTGGATAAGGTCTGTGAGCCTCAGCTCAAATGCACTTGATTCATAAGTGCGAGACGATTTCACTGCTAGTCCGTCTGAACTCTGGTCTTGTCAAAGAGCAAAACTGAGTCTGAAAAAATTCAAGCAAAGGGATCTAATAAAGGATATTACAATGGCTTCTGAGCAACAGTTTGCAAAAGTACAAGTTGCTCTAGAGTACAAAAGTGAGAAGTTTAGGCAAAGAGTCATTATTGGCCATATATTAGTAACTTTTAGTTATATGTAGATGTTGGTCAAATATTAGTAACTTTAAGTTATCTATAGCTATCCTGTCCTGGACTGGCTTCCACAAGCATTTTGCAAAAAATAACCCCAAAACCTTGGACTGACTTATCTATCAAGCATAGGAACAGCTTGTGTCAGTACATTTTTTTCGGAGAGCAACATTAGTTCTGCCTTGCCTTCTCATCCTCCTGAGACAGTTTGGGTTCTTATTTTTCAGGTCGATCAGTACAATACAAAATGGAGTTCTGTCTGAATCCTGGACAGAACCCTCTCCTATGGAAAGCACCTAGATGTGGGGCTCTTCCACAGTTATCTAAAAGAAAAGGAAATTTCTGATAACTTCTAAGTGAGTTAAAGAAAGGCACCAGGCTTCTTCGAGTCCTTTCTGTTTAAAGAGAGTTGAATAAATTTTCATTGATTTGCAGAGGACCTGAAAATCTTTGAAATGAAGCAAGAACCGTACACTCGAAGGAAAGACTCGATCTTCCTGATGAGCTCAGCATTTCAGCTGCATGGACAATCCTGTTACATTTAGACTTTGTGGGTTTGTAGTACCCACTCTTCATTTCTCAGCATGGTTAGGTTCTAAAGACCATGTTCTCAGGCAGAAATGGAGGAGTGTGTGTGTGTGTGTGTGTGTGTGTGTGTGTGTGTGTGTGTGTATTCAGCTCATCCACCTGCCTGCTTTTTTAAAAGGAAATAAAATCATAGAAATAAGAACAGCTAATAATTACTGATAATGGTCCTCACTGTGACCAGTATAATTACGGATTATTCCACTCTGGTGAAGGATGAAACAAAGCTAGATAAAGCCGAGTTGGGTGACTAGAGGGCTTGTGACGTAAGCACTTCAACCTTCTCCTGTGCTGGCTCAGAGCTTCCCTCAAAGAGCTTCCTCTAGGGCTCCACTCCCACATGGTTCCAGACTCCTAGAGCCTGCTCTGATCTTGGTGCCTGGAAAATCAGTGATGCTCAGTGCTTCCCTTGAGGGTGCTAATGGTCTCTCTCTGGCCGTGCCAAAGCAGAGGCTACTGGCCCAGTTCAGCTCCTTCTGGGATGTCATGAAACTCGCACGCATTTCTTCCCAACACCCTCTCGGATGCCCTGTCTCTTTTCCCTGTGTCCTATGTGTATTAATCTAAACAGCCTCCAGCTACAGAGAATCTGAATATCCAGAGCTTGTGCTAGCTGGCTTGGTGCTGCTGGACCCCCATAGCTCCAGAAGAGGCAGGACAGAGCAGAGCTTCCAGACAGCACTGTAAATTTCCTGGATGCTACGCAGGCCCCTCTCAAAAGAGAAGACACTCCACAGCCACTGCTGCCATGCCCACTGTCCTGTAAATGAGAAAAATTGGGTTTTAAAAACCATTTTTATCGAGGAGCTGATGCCAGGGGCCTACGTGGCGAGCAAATGTTATAAGAATGATGAAAGCAATGAATGTACAAATGTGCTTTGCACAATTGATGTATGTATGGATTATGATGAGTTGTATGAGCCCCTAATAAAATGATTAAGAAAACAACAACTATGTTTACCAATGTTAAATGGCAGGCAGTAAAGTTGTCAATAAGTGAGGAGTTGGTATATTATCAACGGGAGAAAAAGAAAACCTAGGCACCCATATTTGATTTCAAGTTAAACACTCAGTAAGAAGTGAGGCACCCCTTCTCCCCATTGGAGGGGCAGAGAGTACCTATGATTTTGAAAATTCACCCCACTCATGAAATGTCTTTGGCTATCAAGAGAGTTTGACCTCCCAGCCAGTTTGGGTCCATGCAACTCATTTGCCAGATGAGATTTGAGTGCTTGTTCTATCCCAGGCACTATGTGCTTGGTCTCCAGTATAAGTGACAACCAGCCTAGATGTGTGAGGATGGAGAACCGGCAGACCTTTTAACCAAAGGTTCAAAGTGCCACAGTATAATTCAAAGATGAACCCACAGCAGTTTCCATTCTCCCGTTCTCAAATGATGAACCAATGCAATACATTCCTGTAAACATCCTGTCAATGTGCAAACTCGACTTTTGAGGACAGAAAAGTCAGAGTAACTGCACATCTTGTGAGTCAACATGGAAGTCGGTAGGATCAGGAGTTCCTTTCCCCCCTTCGTTTCACTTATTTATAATTTTATATTCATATTTTCTATTGCTTTCCCATGTTTCCTTACTCTAGAAGAGAATTATAAATAAAAACCATTTTGAAGATTTTATTTAAAAATACTTTAGAATGTAAATTTGTTGGAAGATTTCACATATTCTTCTTTTTCTCTATGACATCCCAAAACTGACCCATTCTATACTTTGTAGTGACTGACTCCTAATATTTTTACATGTACTTTTTATTCTCTGGGTTTTCCACTTCTATCTTTATACTGATCTTGATACAAGCCTTTTTTGGCTTATTTGTTTAGTCAGTTTGATAATTTTATTATTTGGTAGTAGATAAATATATAGTAAAAAATTAAGAAAATTATAAAGGCAAAATATCTCACAGTACTGGTTATGGTTGGCACTGTTTTATATTAAAATATAAACAAGATTGAACACTTAAAATATTATGTAGCTGTTCTTTTTTTCCTGAATGCTTTCATTTCATAATATGTATTGATTATTGAGCCTTTATTGTATGCTATAGTGCTAAGTGCTTTATGTGTATGGTTTTATTTTGTTATCAGAGCTACCATATAAGTGAGTGCTATTATTAGTCCTAGTTTACTCAAGAAGGTATTGAGACTCACACAAATGATAGAGCTTCGATAAGGCCTGGAGTTCATACATGGCAAAACCAGAATTTGAGCATAGGTCAAAGTGACATTGAAGTCTGGAATTTGCTGCCTTGCATTTATGCTTTGTCTTGGTCGCCTTCTCATTCCTGTGAGGTCACACATTGTTGATTTCCAGGGCCAATTACTAGTCTGTAGGAACCAGAGGTTCTCTGTCCAGGATCTGTTATGATTAATCAATGCCTGAGCTTTGGAGTTATATTAGTTGGTTTAAGTTCCTAACTTTACTGTAAATTTAGGTGGCTAGAAGTTAAGTCAAATGCTTAGAGGCTTACATAATATTAATAGGTGAATATCACCCACAAAGGAACATTAGTGCAAAGGCCTAGAATTAGAAAACAAAAAGCAAAGAACATGCTCAGCATATCTCGACTGAAAGAACTGTAAACAAAAATTTAAGTCTCAAATTTCAATACTGAAGGATTGTATGCACAAAATACTGAATGATGCAGGAGATAGAGTGAATATACAGTCATGGTACCGAAAAAAATTGGTAAAGATTACACCATTTCAAGAAATAACATAGGATCAAGAGATCAATGGTTTTGAAGAAATAAGTACAATATATTTATCTACTACCAAATAATAAAATTAATGAAAGCATTAATGAAAAACAAGGCTCCATGAATTGATAGATTACCACTTAGAATGTTTCAACAAATGGACACAAAGCTAGAAGCCCTCACTACTCTATGTCAAGAAACTTGGAAGACAGCTACTGGAAGAGATCCACATTTATGTATGTTTCAAAGAAACGTGACCTGGCAGAACAGAGAACATTATTGAACAATATCATTAATATCGCATGCAAGTACAATTTTGATGAAGAAAATTTTAAAAGGGTGGTAGCAGTATATCATCAGGGAGTTGGTAGAAATTCAAGACGATTCAGAAAAGGGCATGAGATGAGGGATATCATTACTGACACCAGATGGATCTTGGCTGAATGAGAATAGTTGAAAGATGTTTCCTTGGGTTTTATTGACTATGAATTGGTATTAGACTGTGTGGATCATAACAAACTGTGGACAAAATTGCAAGGAATGGGAATTCCATAGCATTTTGTTGTCCTCATGTGGAACCTCTACAACCAGGAGTCAGTTGTTGGACCAGTACCAGAGAATACTGTGGGGCTTTAAATCAGGGAAGATGTCTATCAGGGATGTGTTCTTTCACCATAGTTATTCAATCTGCATGCCGAACAAATAATCAGAGACCATCTAAAGAAGAATTCAGCATTAGGATTGGAGGAAGGCTCATTAAAAAACTGTGATATGCAGGTGACACTGGTGATGGCAAAAAAGCCTTGAAACACAGGGAAGGTCGAAGACTACAACCTTCAGTCTGGATGACAACTCAGTGTAAAAACACAAAAATTCTCACAATTGGACCAACAATGTCATGATAAATGGAAAAAAAGATTGAAGTTGTTAAGAATTTCCTTTTACTTGTACCTACGATCAATGCTCATGGAAGCAACAATCAAGAAATCAAATTACTAATTGAATTGGGCAAACCTACCATCCATGACCTCTAGAAAGTATTAGAGAAAAATGTCAGACCAAGGACTAAGGTATGCCTGACCCAGGCCTCAGATGCATGTGAAAGCTAGACGATGAATAAGGACTAGTAAAGAATGATTGATGCCTTTGAATTATGGTGCCGATGAAGACTATTGGAGGTGCCATGGGCTCTGCCCGAACAAGCAAATCTGTCTTGGGAGAAGTACATTCAGAAGTTCTTTAGAAGCAGAGATGTAAGATTTCATCTCACGTTCTTTCGGCCTGAATGGGGAGGAGCAGTCTCTGGAAAACAACAAGCTTGGTGGAACAGAGGGTCAACAACAACAACAAGAAAGACCCTCAACAAGATGTGCTGGCATAGTGGCTGGAACAGTGGGCTCAAACGTAACAACTGTGAGGAAGGTGCAGGTCCGGGAAGTGTCTCAGCTGCCATCCATTGGTGCTGACTCAGTGGCACTGCGCGACAACCATATTTGAGTCCCTACACTAAAACATCAAGGTAAAGCAATGCTGGTCCACTATACGTTCACTAAGACTGTAGTTGTAGAGGTTCTCCTCTATAACTTTACAAATCACAGTGGCCTAAGCAATGAAGTCCAACAAATAGGAGTTGAAAGATAATATTTTTTAATGTCATTGTTAATTTATTCAAAAGCTAAATGTCTCTCCTTTTAGGCCAGAAAAGGGCGAACTACCATTGTGATAGCACATCGTTTATCTACAGTTCGAAATGCCGATGTCATTGCCGGTTTTGACGATGGGGTCATTGTGGAGGAAGGAAATCATGATGAACTCATGAAAGAGAAAGGCATTTACTTCAAACTTGTTACAATGCAGGTATATTTTAGCTTTCCCCCAAATCATCTCAGGCATAAGTTGATTTTGCTATATTTAATGCTATAAATGTTACTGGATTTCATTACCTTGGAAAGTGGGGGGAAAAATACCGGGAGAATACAAACTCAGGTCAGTGTTAAAAATTTTATTTCTGTTAAGAGGAAGAAAAATGAAGAATAAGTCAAGAAAACTGAAGAAAAAAATTAAATGTTTAAAGCTGAACTTCAGTAAAGTAGCCATTAGCCACAAATTGGGCACTTGAACATGTTAATCTGAATTGAAATGAGAGAAATGAAAAATATACCCTGGATCTCAAAGAATTAGTAAAAAAAAAAAAAGAATATAATGAATCTCATTAATAATTTTTACATCCATGCATGTAAATATCATTCATGATATTTGTGGGACAGTGTGTTAAATAAAAATATACATTTAAAATTAATGGGTTACATAAATATATAAATTTAAAATATATAATATATATAACTATATTAATTTAAAATATATAAAATATATAAATTTAAAAGTTGTTAAATAAAATATACAACTTCAATTGTCCTCAAAATTAGACTCCATGGAATGGATGCCATGTTATTCCAGCTTCCTCAGCGGGGTATCTTATTTAATGGTTTTTAATTTTTAATTATAGCACAAAACAGAAATAGCAGTTCAGCTTTATCCTCCTCTATAATTATTTAAACCATTTATCATTTCCCCTTATTATCCCATGTTTTTTCATGGTTTTCATTGGCTACCTGAGCCTAACCTGCTTTTGTATATTTCTTGTTTATTTTAGACAAAAGGACATGAAATTGAAGAAGGAGAGGCAGCTAATGAACCCCACAGTGAAAGCAACGCCTCAGAAATGCCCCCAAAAGATACAAAATCAAGTCTGTTAAGAAGAACATCAACTCGAAAGAGTACATCTGCACAAGCCGAAGACCGAAAGCTTAGTTCCAAAGAGGACCTGGTATGGGGAGGATGTAGAACAGCGGTTCTCAACCTGTGGGTTGCGACCCCTTTGGGGGTCGAACTACCCTTTCACAGGGGTTGCCTGATTCACAACAGTAGCAAAATTCCAGTGATGAAGTAGCAAGGAAAATAATTTTATGGTTGGGGGGTCACCACAACATGAGGAACTGTATTCAAGGGTCAAAGCGGCATTAGGAAGGTGGAGAACCACTCATGGAGACTATTATCCCTTCAGCCCTCACATGTGTTTCCTAGCTTGGTGGGCTGGGTGTTAGGTGGGATTAGAACGAGTAGGGGTAGTCTGGAATCTCCCTGTCCTATTTTTCAGAATATCCTATGCACAAAAACCTCAATATTCAGAATCAACTTAGAATTTTAGAAAGTGATCTTATTTTGGACAAACATTTTAGAATTAAAATTTATCATGTGAAGAAATTCTAATGGGTCCAAAATATCATGGCTTCTTCCATTTATCCCCACTTGGAAATATTATCACCTTCCAAATGCCAGAAAGAGTTAAATGTTTGGGGAAACACTAAAAACTTGCTTAAAGAAAAAAAAAAAGAGTGATGACTCCACTAACACCTTTATTTGATGCTAAAGGGCCATTAATTGATAAGTAAATAGGATTCGGTTATCTGCATTTAAACTTAATTTTTCATGTGTTGAAGAAGTATATCTTAAAATAAATTATCAATTATTTTTTAATCTATTGCAATATTTTTTATTTTCCAGGATGAAAATGTACCACCTGTTTCCTTTTGGAGAATTCTAAAACTGAATGCCACTGAATGGCCTTATTTTGTGGTTGGCATATTTTGTGCCATTGTGAATGGAGGTCTGCAGCCAGCATTCTCAGTAATATTCTCCAGGATTATCGGAGTAAGTATTTAGGCCCATTTACTTAAATTCATGTGAGAATTTTGACCAGAGTATGAAATATTTGTGACTGCATACCAAAAGTACAAAATTGTTTTCTCTTTTTTTTTGAAACTAGGCAGCTTGGAGATGTAAGAATAGATTTCTGGTTTGTGATAGGAGAGCTGATTTGGGGACGTCCTTTTTTACTGGCAGTAAATTAGTGTGGGTTGTTTGGTTTGGGTTTTTACGGTGAATGGGGTGAAAGTTTACGCAGTTCACACACATTTTGTTTCATGCTCTTGATTGAAATCCCTGCAAGGTAACATCACTCATTCCTCCGAATTCCTGTTTCCTGTGCTCAACCCTGCTTCTTTTCTAACCGTTCCTACCTTCCCAACGTGGGTAATGCTGCCCTTGGTAAATGCTGCCCTTCTGATGTGTGTGGCTGATTGTTCTGCGGAGTGTGCACCTCGCTGGTGCTATTGTTTACCCTATAAACCTGTCTCTGGTTTGGCTGATGATTGAGCCATGGGAGTGAGTTCAGTTACAGGCCTGAAGGGTGACTTAGGGCTGTGAGGTTCTAACAGTCTGTCTTACCAATAAAAAGCCTGGTAATTGTTTTTGTTTATTTACTCATTTGCTGCTCAGCATTTAGATTGTTTCTAACTTTTTGCTATTACAGATAACACTGTGACTAACATGGGTGTGCTTATATCTACTTATGTCATGGCTCTTACTTTCCTAGGATATTTAGCTTATAGTGGGATTGCTTGGTCACATGGTATTTCTATTTCCACCTTTCAAGGAAGTGTCATACTTCTTTTCACAATGGTTTTACCATATCACAATACCACTAGGAATGTATGAAAGAAGCTGGGTTATGTATTGAGCTGCAAACCTCAAGGTCAGCAGTTCAAAACCACCAGCCACTCTGTGGGGGGAAAGAGGCTTCTACTCCTGTAAATAGTGACAGTTTTAGAAACCCACAGAGGCAATTCTGCCCTGCCTGATAGATAGCATCGTTATGAGGCAGAATCGACTTAATGGCAGTGAATTTTATGAGTCTGTGAGGATTCTAATGTCTCCACACCATTACCAGTGTTTATTGTTTTCTCGTTTTCCAAAACCATTTTATTTCGAGTTAATACAGATACCATATCATTCCATAGTTTAATCACATCAAGCAGTATTGTACAATTGCTACCACAATCAGTTTCAAAACATTCTTTTCCAGGGGGAGAGGGAGGAGAAAAAAGAGCTAATCCTAAGGGCTCAATAGAAAAGAATGATGGCAGCATATGTATAAATGTGCTTGATACAATTGAGTATGGATTGTTTTAGAGGTCAGTGTCTCACCCAGTGTGTCATGGCCGTTTCCCTCTAGTTTGTGAGCTCTCTTTTTACTGTTGTAGTGAAACATTTTGGTGCACTTAAGTGTCTAATGCCTAGGAGGTCACCACAGAAACAGACCAAACACGACTTGCCTCTAAATAGAAATCTACATATTTCCTGCTAGTATGGCAAGTGACACACATATGTGTAATGTATCCATTTAAAAAAACAGGTACTCCAGGATGAATTCTAGAGGGTTAGGAAAGAACAAGGAATGGAAAATGGACATACAAGGGAGAAGTGGGCAAAGTGATGGACTATTGAGGGATTGCAAAGGGTGAGGTGAAACCATGTGTATGGATTGCTGACTGTCAAACTAACAGTCCTCTTGGTCAACCTTCATCCAATTCACACACAAAAATGTATCCGAAAGAAATAATTTATTTAGTGTCTATTCTGTGGTAGGTATTGTTCAAGCTGCTGAGAAGGAAAGAAAGTGATTTGGGTCTTTTTTAGGCTTGTCAGGAATGTGTGTGTGTGTCTTTTGCAAATACTCAACTCTGCCATCATCTACAAAGGCAATCATAGACAGGAAGTGAACAAATGAACATGGTTAGGTTCCATTAAAAGTTCCTCATATAACTTTATCTAAACACCTGGCAAGTATTCCTTCAGTCCATTTTCTGTTATATACGTTTCAGTAAGGAAGGTAGACAGACAGAGGCGCCACCACTAAAAAGAGGAAGTGGATCACATAGGAAGAAATTTACCCATGTGTAACAAAAGCTTAATTTTTGGATTTTGTGTTGCTCTCATATAGCAATGAAGTCTAGAAGTAGATAATCAGGAATGTGAGCATTAGCTCCTCAATATTTGGTGGGTGACCAGGTGCCTGCCTCTTTGAAGATGTGTTTGATAGTGATTAAGAGTGTGGGTTCTGGATCAGATTGTTTATATTCTAGGACCCTCACTGTGAGCTACCTTACCTTAAAAGGAGTTAAGCTGTCTGGGATTGAGTTTCCTTCTATGTAAAATGATGGTAATTTCTGATAAAATAGATTTTAAGGCAAATACTAACATAATAAATAAGGATGTAACCATAGCACAATAGCAACAATAGCACCATATGTATCCTTTTCCAACATAGAGAACAGTTCTTTCGAATAGATTCTATGCAAGGACACAAAGTAAGTATCAATAAATTTGACAACACTAAAATGCTACAGAGCATTCTCTCAGTTCACATTGGTTTAACATTAGAAAATTGTAATAGTAAGATTGGGGTGTTGGTGGAAATCAAATAAATGGAAACAATAACATTATACTTTAAACTGAGTCATAGAAGAAATAAAAAATGAATTAAAAGAATTCCTTGAAGCAAATGAGAATGAAAACACAGCATACCAAGGCACACAAAAAGCAGTGCTCAGGGACCCTTGATAGCAGTAGATACATTCAAAATTCCATGGGCATGGTATCTGTCATCCCCGACTTTACAAATAAAAAGAACAGGAGAATCCAAAGGAAAGAAAGAAATGAAATGGTGGAGCTAAGTGAAGGACTATCTCTCTGACTCAACAAAATCACATCCACAGGTTTCTTGCAGAGACCTTGTGTTGGTTTACCTATCCAAATTGCAACACAGCAAATTGCCATATGAAGTAGTTTCCCACTAAAAGGAGAGAAAAGTGTGCGTTCTCACTTCCACTTTGCGCAGTATGTTATAGGACTTGCAGCATTCATTCCTTTGAGAGAATACAAGCAGGAAAGTATTGGATCTGATTTATGAATGACAGTCGTCCTTGGATGTTGAAGCAGACAGAGTGTCTTTTACATTGGCGTTAGGGCACTAAGGCTTGACCCTGAATACTGTGCTAGATGGGCAAGGGGTCGGACCCAGAATAGTTGCTTCTGCCATGGAACTGAATCTTTTGAATATTTTCTTACAGATTTTTACAGAAGCGAACGATCCCATAACACGACGGAACAAGAGTAACTTATTTTCAATATTGTTTCTAGTTCTTGGAATTATTTCGTTCATTACATTTTTCCTTCAGGTAAATGTCCACATTTTCACTTTCTTCGTGTTGGAGCATGTGTTACCATGCCATTGGCATTGATGCGCATCTATAGAATTTAAAGGCGCTCTGGTGGCCTAGTGGTGTCAGTGCTTGGAATCGCTGAGGGGCAGTTCTCGCACGTCTCTTGGGTCACCATGAGTCAGAGTCACGTGGAGGACAATGAGTTTAGTTTTGGGCTCCACCCTTCACTTTTTGGTAGAGTCGCTGTGCTGTCACCTTGTCTGTTAGCAGCCAGATGCTTGAATGGATTGAAAACAAAGATCATTTGCTTCCTCTGGCTTCCTTGTTTGCTTCCTTCCCCCTTCATTTCAGACCACTGGAAACATTATTAAAATGAAAAGGAACAGAGTATTTTGACCGAGTAAGTGACTGAGAACGAATAGTGGGACTCAAAACTGGGATTGTGGTGAACCCAGGGAGGTTGGCGATAAGTATTCCAGGCGACTTCAATAGTAAAAGAAACATTTCCCTGTATTCTAAAAGTAAGAACAACAATGAAAACCCCATAAACGAGTCACATAGATTTAAAATTGTTTTGAAAAAATATTATTATCATTCGACTTTCACTAAGGGGAAAATGGCTCTTGTCAATGATGGAAGAATGCTAACCTTCAAACGAAATGTTGTGAACCATTTGTAAACAATCCGAGTGTACAGCTTGTAGATTGATTGGCTGCAATGAAATTGCAGAGGAACGAATAAGTGCGATAAGTGTAGTAGGCGGAGGCAGTAGGAGACCGAGGCTCAAGGACCAGCCCCTCTAGTTACTCATTTTTGTCCTTGATCCCCTCTCCGTTTCCTGATCTGTGAAACAGGAGTAGTGGTACCTGCTTCTCAGAGCATCTGTGAGGATTAAAAGAGAGCATGCGACACGGGCACAGGCCTGTGAGTGGCAGATAGGGAAACACTGGATCACTCTGATTTGCTAGTGCCACAAATATCACCACAATACAAAACTCTGAAAAGTCTATTTAATACTCTCTAAGAACACATTAATTTTTTTAATAGATGAAATATTTTGGACAACGTAGGCGATGTGAAAGAAAAAATGGAAGCCTTTGCTAAGTTCCTAAAATTTCATGGGGAAATGAAAATATAGCTCTGTCTTTTAGAAACCACATGACATTTTCATAGCTCCGTGGTTGCCATCCCAGCTACAAAAGATTGCTGAATGCTGCAGCTGGTTAGAAATTTCGAGGGAAGGAGGCTCTGACCTGGGTCCTTAACTTTGGAGACGTGGATTAGTGACGTGAAGGATGTTACAGTAGTACCTTGGAGACCTGATGGTATTTTGGAGACCTGGAGAATGACCTGCCTGGCAAACTGAGATGGGAACAGAGACTCTGAATTTTAGAGATGACATAATGTCCAGAGATATTGTCTGAATGCCCAACCCCTCATTGTAGAGAGAGGGGCTGTTGGGCAGGGAGAGCTGAATGGGGGATGAGAAGCCCAGCCTGTGAGTCCCCAGCCTGATTAGGGTTATTACTAGACCCAGTTTTAGATTCCAATCCTGCCACAGTAAGAGCTGTGACCTTCAGCCACTGACCAACTGCTCTCGTCTTCTATAAAGTGACAATTACAGTGTTTTTTGTATAGGCGCATAAAAAAGATGTAATGACATAATAATATTTGTCAAGTATGGCATCTGGTACAGATTAAACACTTCATTAAAAATAACAGATGGTTATGTGTTGGGCTGCTAACTGCAAGTTCAGCAGATTGAAACCACTAGTTGCTGCTCTGGAGAAAGATGAGGCTCTCTACTCCCTAAGAGAGTTACAGCTCAGAAACTTAGAGGAGCAATTCTACCCTGCCCTATTGGGTCGCTATGGGCTGGAATCGAGTCTATGGCAGTGGCTTTAGTTTGGTGTGAGGCAAGCTATGTCACATTCATCCAGCTTACAAAAAGGAACCTTACATCGATCATTTCCAAAAAGACTTCATCACGGTAGTAATTTCAGGATTAATCTCAATAAGGTGTCAGAGTTCCCTTCCCTCCTTGATCACAGAGGGGCTTCATACAGTCCAGAATTGGATGGAAGGATGCTGTCTGTGAACATTGTGTGCTCCCCTCCCCTGCTGCATGCAGGCAACCTGAGGGGTCCATGGCTTCCTCTGGCGTACGTACGTGCTCCATACCTAGCTCTCCCCCTTTGGCGTGACCACAGAACCACTTACAAGAGTCAGCTCTTTCCTTGCTGGATTCTGCCTGTGTTTCTTCCCCGTCTCTCAGAGAAGATCCACATACTCCAGAAAAGACAGGGTAACCCTCCTCCGCTTCTCTGTGGGAAGCATTCTGAGACCCATACAGCTGTTCCCACTCTCCTCTCCTCATTATAAGCAGGCCTCACACCCAAGCGACTGCTTCCCAGGGGTCCAGAAGGAAGGGGGAACTGCTCTTACCTATTCCTGCATCTAATTTCGTGGGAAGGGGCTGGGTTCTTCCTCCCCAGATGTGGTCTAATGGGGCAGCACATTGCGGTTGCCCACACTCACGCCTTAGTGTGTGTGTGTGTGTGTGTGTGTGTGTGTGTGTGTGTGTGTGTGTGTTTTCCCGATAACTCCCTTTCCAGACACAGACTATATTTTCATGGAATGGAGAGAGAAAGCAAAGAAATTCTTGCTCAGGAAGCCTTCTTCCCCAACCTAGTTTGCTCCTTCGCTTTGTGAGCTTGAGAACCAAGCATAGACATCTTTGTTCTTTGGGTCCTTATGGCTGGGGTGACCATGTATGCCCACTTGTCCACACAGTCCCAGATTACACCTCAGGTCCAGTACCTTTTCCCTCTCCAGCAGCCGGGTTTTGAAGGATCTAATAGACATAGGATAGCCACACACTTACAGTGCCCCTCCCGGGGACGTTTCTGGTTTCCGGAACGCTAGACTCTGGTGCCTTGGGACACTAAGGGGGAGTACAGGTAAAGCAGCACAGTTACTCATAAATAGCTATCCTCCAACTCACTGAGGCATGACAATGGCACAGTTCAGCTTTCCGCGTGGGTACAGGCATAAAAATGCAGCTAACCCTGAGAACCCTGCCGACTAAAGCTGTTCTCTTCTTGCCAGGGCTTCACATTTGGCAAAGCCGGAGAGATCCTCACCAAGCGGCTTCGATACATGGTTTTCAAATCCATGCTGAGACAGGTATGTCTGTTGAGTGTGCCGGGTACGAGGGATCCCCAGTTCTCTGTAGACCAGGTAGAGGTGACACTAACAAGTTGCTCAGGTCATGAAACCTTATATTAGTAGCTTTTCCCCCAGTGGCAACTGGCAAGCCCCCCACACCCCCTAATCCAGGTGTGGGCTGAGACTGGCTGGCTGTTTGTTTTTTGTGATGAACACAGGGAACGATCTGATCCCTGGGAGTCAAATGGAGCTTGCTGAGTAGCTCTAGGTAGAGTAAGCAGAAGTGATCCTCAATATCTCTCATATCTGTCTTCTTTCTCCTGGACTACCCAGGACATACTGTCTCTTCCCACCAAGGAATGCACTCTGGCCCCCTCCCCCACATCTTTCTCCACGTCAGAATTCATCCCTGTGGCCCATTTCCTCATTGCTCAGTTTCTTTGCTGGGTTAGACTGATGTACTCATATCAGCCACAATATTATTCGCTGGTAATGATTAATGGAATGCCTCCCATATTTCCCATTAAAGACTTGCCAGTGAGTACAGTGAAGCTCCAGAAGGATGCCCAGGCACGTTGGTGGTGCTTGAACTCTGCCTAAGAAGATTTCTGTATTAGGATTCTAGACAGCACTCAAGGAATCTTGGTGGCATAGAGGGTTACTAACGACAGGTCAGCAATTTGAAACCACTAGTTGCTGCTCAGAAAAATGGGGCTTTCGACTCCTGTGAAGAGTTGCAGTCTTGGAAACCCACCGGGGCAGTTCTGTGGGGTCATGTGGTTTGAAATGGACTTGCTGACAGTGAAATAGCATTCATACTTTCCCAGCTCCTTTTGGCCTTTCCTCCTTCCCCATTCCTACCACCACCACCCAAGAAGACTTTTGAAGGGGCTTCAAAAAGTTTGTAAGAAAATTCCATGACCTTCTCATTCCATTTTTCCATGAGGTTTTTGAAGTCCCCCTCATATTTATGGGGCTTTCTAGCTAATGTTCCACAGAACCAGGACTCAGTCCGATGGGTGAGAGAGCACTACTTAATGGGGATCTTATCATAGAATGCTCCGGTCAAACTTTATTTATAGCTAAGATTCCACTTGGGCTCCAGATTAACCCTGGTCTGGGGCCAAATGTCCCATTACCAACCTCAAGGCTAGCTCCTAGGTTCATTACACATCAGCAGATGACCTAGTGATTTGTATAAGGCCATTTTCATAAATTATGAAGTACAGCAAATACCTATGAAGTTCTTTCTGCTTGCAAAGCATAGTACTAAATATTGTCAATCATTCAAATGTGAATGATCCCTGTCTTCAAGGAAGTTATAATCTGGAGACAGGACACACCCCACAAAGAGTTAAGTATATTAAAAAGCAAATTGATGCATACTATGATAAATTATCATACTTTATTTTTTCTTATTTGGGGAAGGACAAAGCTATTATTTGAGCGCAGCTCCCCGGTTCTGATGGATTCTTGGGCCATGGTTGGTTTGTAACAGGCATCCATTTGTACTTCCGCTTCATAAGCTTGTTAGAATTTCTATATTTTAAAATTACTTAGTTTTACAAAGATATTACTATTTTGTGTTGGATATTACATTTTCTGTGGATTGCTTTTATTGATTTGTTTTCAACCCAATTTATTTTTCTACCATGAACTAAAGCTATCTAACTGCTTATTCAACCTGTTGAATGTCCAATGAGCATGTCATACCTCATAGTCCCAGAACTGAATTTTCAATTTTCTCCTTCCTACAGGGCTTATTACTCTTTATCCTGGCTCCCATTTGTCAGTAAGTGGTAGCTAGATTTTCTGTCTCCTTCTCTGTTTAATATTATGATATTACAGTAGCCTCTTAACTATCGCACTGCCCCAATCCAGTTTGTTCACCTCTGTGCAGCCAGTCATCCTTCTAAATAAAACTTAGATTATATCCCTGTGCCTAAAGCTTTTCAAAAGCTATGCTACCCAGATCTCTGGAGGAAATCTGGAATCATTACAGCTTCCCAAAAGACCATGCACAATGTGTTGATTTTTAGCCCAGCAGCATCCCTGTAGGCTTTTCTTTCTAGTGGAAGAACAAATCTAGAGTGCTTTGTCTCAGCCTTTACAAAAAACCTTATATTCTCACTATCCCTTTCTTCCCTCAGTCTTTGTTCAGAAGTCACTTTGGCGAGGGCCTCTTTGTCCCCTTCTGAACCTATAAAACAGCACCATCTCTCATTGTTTAGTGTTTCTTTGTACCCTGTTCTCTTTTCTTCATAGCACTACCTCCTGAAATGATATTTTACTTGATATGTGTTCCTCTGCTTCTAATCACTACACTCTATGGTTCTTGGAAGCAACAGCATTGTAGTTGTCTTTTGTTATTGTTGTTGTTTTTATCGTTCCCTGTTGTGTAGCTTGAACACATTTGAAACCATGCCTGAAGCCCAAGTTAGGCATTCAGAAAAAAATTTGTCAAGTGAATATTATCTGTTTTTTGAGATGTTCAAAGATCCACCGAGTCCCTAATCTGTTTCAATTCCTCAGTGCTTAAAAAGTGCAGAGGACACAGCGGTAAAACTTGACCCATAGAAGTAAGCGTTTTATAAATATGGCTTTATGATAACAAAAATAACTTTCTGACTCACAGGATGTAAGCTGGTTTGATGACCCTAAAAACACCACCGGAGCCTTGACCACGAGGCTCGCCAATGATGCTGCTCAAGTGAAAGGGGTGCGTACCAGCTTCCCATTGACTGTTGGGGTTTGTCTTGATTGGCCACGTTGGACCTCAGGGTGAAACTATTGTTCATCACAGTTGTTAGGGCTCATAAGCATTAAGAAAACAGTAAATAGAATTTAACCTTCAGATTATATCACATGGTATATGGCCAGAATGTCAACTATTTAAATGTAAAATACTGTAGGGTATAAAAATGACTTTTTACGTTCTCTTTAGTTATTTGCACAGCTATTCATCTACTAACAAAAATGCAAGCAAAAGAATAATTATCCAGAATAAGAAGTATGTATCAGCTTGCCATGCAAGATCAGTCTATTTTAATGCTTGCTTAATAGAAAATTGGATGTGTTACTGAACATTGATCAAGGGACATTCCTTTCAGCAGAACAAAGGGATATTTCATGGTTTAAAATTGGAAGAGATGAGCCGTGCAGCTGTAGCTTCATACTACTTAGTCAGCCTGCTTATGGAAAAATAATCTATGAAGCTGGACTTTAGGAAGAAGACAAGGCATCAGGATTGGAAGATGATGCACCCTTGTTTGCCGAAAATGAAGACCGCTCGAAGAAGTTACTGATGAAGGTCAAAGACTAAAGCCTTCAGCGTGGGTTACAGCTGAGTGTGAAACAGATGGAAATCTTCACAACTGGACTAACCAACAACATGATGATAAGTGGAGGGGGGATGGAATTATCAAGTTCTCTCTACTTCACTTAACAATGTGTACAGACAGTAGCCAAAAATAATCAAATGGCATGCTGGATCTCTTCAAAGTGCTAGCAAGCAGACATGTCACAATGAAGACCAGAGTGTGCCAAAGCCAAAATTGGCGTTTACAGTCATCTCATTTGGATTCCACTGCTGGACAGTGAAAAAGAATACTGACTATGTCATGAACTTCCAGAAGAGTGAGCAAGTCAATCTTAGAAGAAATATAACTAGAATGTTCTTTAGTACTGAGGATGGCAAGATTTGGGCTCACTTACTTTCAGACACATCATAAGGAGAGACAACTGAAAGACACAATATTTGATAAAATAGAAAGCCAGTGACTATGAGAGAAACTCGGAATAAGATGGACTGATACAATGACCTGCTCAGTGGACTCAATGACCATGAGAATGGCACGGGATTGGGCATTGCTTTTTCTGCTGTGCATAGTGTTGCCAAGAATCAGAGCTTGAGTAGTCAGCAAATAATAACACCGCCAACATCAGTAAATACCTACCTAACACTGGAAATTTTCACTCCTCCCAGTTTAGTGTGGTTATCTGACTGTTTTGCCTCCCTAATTTGCAGAACTTTCTTTAGTGGTTGCACTTTGATTTATAAAGAAAGACTTATTTGGTATTAGAAAATCAGAGGAGATAGAAATATCATTGAGCTCTGGGTTAATGATCTGTGCTTTCAGAATTTATTCTGAAGTTAAGGAAAAAATTATTTTAGAAGCCCAGTAAACTCCTTCCAAGTAAGCCTTTACTTTTTATCTCATGTCTTAGGAGATATTTAATATATAGATTTTCATGAACTGAATTAGTATGCTCCTTAAGAAAAGATGAACACATAAAAACATCTTTTTAAAAAAAATACAACAGTGTCATTCTAATTTGTTTTTGTTTGTTTTGCAGGCTACTGGGTCCAGGCTGGCTGTAATAACCCAGAATATAGCAAATCTTGGGACAGGCATTATTATATCCATAATCTATGGCTGGCAATTAACACTTTTACTCTTAGCACTTGTGCCCATCATTGCAATAGCAGGAGTAATTGAAATGAAGATGCTATCTGGACATGCACTGAAAGATAAGAAAGAGCTAGAAGGTGCTGGGAAGGTGAGTCAACCACAATGTGACTGCTGGCTAAATAGTTCATGGACTGAAACAGGTCAGTCAGTGTTGTTCAGTTACTCACTAGCACTGATGTGCTGAGAAGGTTTTCAGAACCATTCCGCAAAGCAAACTTATTTTATGCTTGCCCAGCAAATTAGAAACTGGAGAAAATGAACAAAACCAATCCTCAGGTTTACAGACTGACAACTGCTTTCCTTTTAGCACGTGTTTTAGCTTCAGGATATTTCCTTTACCCTGTCCTTCCCTTTTTCCTTCCACGTTTCAGTTGGGCTTTAGAGAAGTCTGCTGTTGCAGAGTATAAGCTGATACCACAAATGCATATCACTGCAAAACGAGGTCAGAACAGGCTTGACCCCACCCCCACCCCCACCCCCCACGTGGCTTTAGCTTTCAGTAGGCCTGGTCATCCGAGGTAGTTTCCCTCTGGGACAGAGACCTCATGGAAAGAAAGGAACTGTCTACTTCCTCCTTTGAGTCATTATCCTCTTAGCTCCTTACTATTCTTTCAAAAAAGTCCTTTCAAATTCCAACCATTTCTAGCTATTACTGCCTGACTTCACATGAAGCTTCCCTGAATGTGCTTAGAGACCTGTTCTGGGAGATCTGACAGGGTGATGGTGGCCCACTAGGATCTAGTGGCCTGGCCCAGATAGAATTGGCCCCTGCCAGGGATATATCATGTAACCAGTAACTTCAATTAATACTCTACTTTTTGCATTGTTTTTGCTCTAGTGTTAGCTCTTACTAGGAGGAAGTGGAAAAGTCTTGGACAAAATATCAAAAAAGAAAAACATTACTGTTTAGTAATATCATTTTTGAATGATATTTTTAAATGTCCTAGAAAGGAATCTTCTGATAGGAAGGAAACTGTTTCTCAGAAGAAGACAGTTGGCTCTAGGCTGGTTCGTTGCACACCCTAGGCTGCACTTTTGAATTGGTGTGCTGGCCTTATAGTGCTGGGAGTTCTACAAAAGAGCAGGTGTGGGGGTGCACGTGGATGCGTGTGAATACGGCAGATTTTCTTTTGTTTATTAATCATTTTATTGGGGGCTCTAACAAATCTTATAACAATCGTCATTCGATTGTATTAAGCACACTTGTACATATGTTGCCATCAACATTTCCAAAACATTTTCTTTCTACTTGAGCCCTTGGTATGAGCTACTCTTTCTCCTCCCTCCCCTCCCTTCCTACCCTCATGAATCCTTGATCAATTATATATTATTGTTGCTATTTTGTGTCTTACACTTCCTTTGTCTTCTTTCACCCACGTTTCTGTTATTCATCCCCTTTTCGGGGGGTATATATCCAATCCTGTGATGGGTTCCCCCTTTCTTCCCTTTTCCCCTCCCCGGCCATCCCCCTACCCTCATATCGCTACTCCCACTACTGTTCCTGAGGGGTTTATCTGTCCTGAATCCCATGTGTCCAGAGCTCTTATCTGTACCAATGTGTGTTCTCCAGTCTAGTCGGATTTGTAAGGTAGAACTGGGTGATGGCAGTGGAAGGGAAGAAGCATTCAGGACCTTGAGGAATGATGTGTGTTTCATCGGTGCTATCCTGCACCTTGGTTGAATCATCCCTTCCTTGTAACCCTTCTGTACGGGGATATCCAATCGTCTACAGATGGGCTTCGGGTTTCCACTCCAACCCCACTCTTTCACATTCATATGATTGTTTTGGATCTTTTTGGATCTTTTACCTGATCCTGTCGACACCTCGTGATCACACAGGCTGGTGTGCCTCTTCCATGTGGGCTTTTTTGCTTCCCTGCTAGAATGCTATGGCAGATTCTCCGAGTCAGGTTCAGGTGGGTGATCAGTGCTCTGATTCGTGGTGGCTCCTGAGAGGGTAAGGTGGCTAGAGAAAGTCCACTGACTAGTCCATGTAATATTGAAAATCATCCTGCATTTGGTCATCTCCCTTGTGTTACTTATTGAGTATTTATATGCTAGGCATCCTGCATGTTCTATATACGTTAACTCATTTAATGCTCTCAACAAGCCTGCTAAATTATTCCTGTTGGGCAGATACTAAGATCTGAGGTTCAGAGAGGACAAGAGACCAAATTCATGCAATAATACCCCTCAATGGTCGCCCAACTTCCACTCTTCCCATGCTTGTCCACTTAAAATTCTACATTTTTCTTACATGAGCCAGACCGATCTCTTAAAGGATAAATCAGAACTTGGTACTCCCTATGTAATACTCTGCAGCAGTGTTTCTGATCACACTTGAAATAAAATCTGACCTTTCCCCTTGGCTTCTAACTCTGCATGTTCTAGCCCCCGTGACCTCTTATCTGCTGCTGGGTATCAGTGCTTTCCCATCCCCACCCTCTCTGGCCTCATGCTGCTTCTTTCTGTTCGAGAATCTGACTTGCTGAATCGCTCTGCTCTTCCCATGGCCTGCTCAGAATCTGTATTCTTCAGAGAGCCCTTCTCTGGCATTCTACTTCATTCCTGCTCTTTCTTTCTTCTTTCTTCATTGTTTATTGATTCGTGGTCTACCTTCCCTCCTCAAACAACCCCATCTGTCAGTTTTCCCACAGAGGAGCAGGGCAGGCTCGGGGTTCTGGAGGCTGTGAAGCCAGAGCTCGCACGCGATTCCCACTCTGCTCTTGACGGTCACGTTATTATGGGTGAATCAGCATGTCAACCAAGTGGATATCTTTCCATTTTAAGAAATGAAAGTCATAAATCAAACTCCCGTTTATTTGAGGGCGGGAAGATAAAGGAGATCTATTTGTTTCCCACCCTAGAAATGTGAATATGTATTTTCCTCTCTTCAAAGTCACTCAGTGCGTAAGTGTCTGAGGGAAGCTCCGTGCCATTTCGTTCTTTCCCAGTTACAAGTTCTCTCTCTCAGTAGTTACTGAGTCTCCACATAAAACTCGGAATAATTGAAGCTGTGGGGATGTAGGGAGCTAATTAATCCCCTTCCTAATTGCTTCATTGTGAGAAGAGGGGAAGAGTCTAATTGTGAAATGATTATAATGTTTTACTCACTAAGCACAATCTGTGAGTTAAAGGCTCTGTCACTTTTATTGGGCTTTATATACATTAAAAAGGGACTGTATTTACAAACCAGTTATGAATAAGATATTCTTGCCTTCAATGATGATGCACAGAAAATACTTTTTAAAGCGGTTACACTGAAATGCAGTGAATTTGTTTTCTTCAACAGACATTGTTAGAATTTGTTGAATTTTCTTGCTAATCCAGACTTTTTAATTTACTTTTTTATTCACCAAGAGTTGTAAATATGTCTAACATATTTAAGTAAGGAATACCTTTGTGGTGTTTTACTAAAAGCAATGTTTTTTCCTCATAAGTGTCTGATTGCTTAGGATTTTTCTGAAATGAGTATGTGTTATTTTGATAATGTTAAGAATCTTATAAAATATTTTCACATCAATTGGATCTGAGCATTTCTGTCTTTATAATTAGCTCTGGGTAACACAGTGAGAGCTTGACCATTCTGAGGAAGAGAATATGTTTTGTTTTGTTTATCAATCATTTTATTGGGGGGCTCTTACAAATCTTATGACAATCATCATTCAATTATATTAAGCACACTTGTACATGTGTTGCCATCCACATTTCCAAAACATTTTATGTTTTGTTTTTTAAGTAAGCTTTTGTAGAGAATCATGTGAAAACTAAGTAGGAGTTTGTGTTCGTGATTTATATGCTGCAGGTCACTCTGCCTTTACCAGGTGCTTGTTAGAATCAGTTCCAACCAGCAAACAGCGAGAAGAGCATCTTAAACAATAACAATAATATCTCTTGGTGACTTTAGACATTTATTTTAGAATCACAGCATTTAAAAAAAGCCATTAGAGCTTCTGTAGCCCACCCACCTCTACATCTTCAAGACGAAGACAGTGAGACACAGGTAGTTAGGGCTCCATGGCTCTGTGGTTTATATAGCAACCGTTGGGGGCTGAGATCTCCTCTTTGCACTGCCGCATCTCTGTTGTATGCGCCCTCTACGCTATGAAATAGGATGGCCTCTTAATATCAATAGCACTAACGACTTTAGGAGTCCTGTAGTATAGTGGGTTATAAGTTGAACTATTAACCACGAGGCCAGCAGTTCAAAACCACCAGCTGCTCCAAGGCTTTGGGCTCCCATAAACATTTTCAGCCTCAGAAACTCAAAGGCACAGTACTACTTTGTCCTGTAGGGTCACTATGGGTCAAAATCAACTCCATGGCAGTGGGTTTGGTTTTTGAATACTTAGTGGTTTTGGGTGACATGAGTTGACACAATGGTGAAGCATTCAGCTGCAAACCAAAAGGTCAGTGGTGTGAATCCACTAGCCCCTCTGTAAAGGAGAGATAAGATTACAGCCTTGTAAACCCTATGAGGCAGTTCTACTCGGTCCTAGAGGGTCTCCATGAGTTAGAAGTTGGCCTGACAACAGGCATGTGGTGGCACAGTGGCTGAGCTCTCAGCTGCTCACCAAAAGGCCAGTGGTTCCAATCCATCTAGCTGCTCCAAGTGAGAAAGAGGTGGGAATCCGTTCTCCAAAGATTCCAGCCAAGGCAAGCCTGTGGGACAGTTCTACTCTGTCACATGGAGTTGCTGTGAGTTGCAAGTCAACTGGATAGCACCTGACAACATGTTATATACAAACCATTTATAAACAAAAACAACCTTACCAGTTGCCGTTGATTCAATTCTGACTCATAGTGACCCTCTGTGAGAGGAGAACTGCACCCTCCCTAGCATTTTCATAGGTCAGCTGTATTTAGAAAAGTGACAGACTAGTAAGTAATTAAAAAAAAATATATATATGCAGATATTTTCCTGAGAGAACTTCTTGATAACAAGAATCTTAGCCCTTTAAGGCCAGAGTGCTTCTTAGAGGCAAGGATGGCAAGACTTCATCTTACATATTTGGGCATGTTGTCCGGAGAGACCAGTCCCTGGAGAAGGACATCAGGCTTGGTAACGTGGATGGGCAGCAAAGAGAGGAAGGCCCTCCATGAGATGGACTGACACCGAGGCTGCAACAATGGGCTGGCATCGAGCAATTGTCAGAGGGCGCAGGACCGGGCAGTGCTTCCTTCTGTTGTGCACAGGGTCACGATGGTGCGGAACCAACTTGATGGCCTTTAATCTGCTGTATATTCAAGTTTCTGTAGCCTGCCAGTCCTATCATTAATGGTTTTCTGGCTCAGTCTTCACAAGAGTACTGTACACGGCTCTGTTACTTTCTCTCCACTTCTACTTATTGTTGTGGGATTTTTATTTTAAAATTGTATGCCAAGAAGATAAAAGTAAAACTCTTCCATAAAATAACGATGGTCAGTTAACCAGTCTCAATTCTTCCTTGTTTCACAGACTATTATTTGGAAGAGATCATAGTTTTACCTCCCCTTAACTATTTCCTCAAGAAGGATGGTTCACTCTTACCCTTTGCCCTGACTGCAGAATGTGTCAAAGGATGTGCACGTCCTAATCATGTAGCTTTGATGGAAGTTACATTCAGTTAAAATGTAATTGAGTGAGAGAACCTTTCTGGAAAGCAAACTGTAATATTTATCATTCCTTTAAAAAAAGTATTTATCATATTTGACTTAGTAATTTCACTTCTAGGAACATCTCCTTAGAAAATTCTTCAATATGGACAAAATTTATGTCCAAGAATATATGTCATTTGAAAATTGTAATAAGAGAATTGAAACCTTTGTTCAATAATTGAGGAATGTTTATATGATGAAAGTATTAAATTGCTCATGAAATATCCCATTAATACATATTTAATGACTTTGAAAAATGTTCTTTGTTAAGGTTAAAAGAAAAATAAAACCAAAAATATTTTGATCCCATTTTTGCTAAATCTCTATATGCTTAGGAAAAACATCTTAAAGCTAAATATGTAATATAGAGCAATATGTAACTTTTAGCTTTTTAGTCTTATCAATATTTCCGAATAGTCTTCCATAATCATGAATGAAACACTAAATATTAACATCACATGTTAACACTATATGTAAAATCAACACAAGCCACAGCCTTCAGTAGCCCAAGACCAGAAGAACTAGCTGCTACCCAAGTACGACTATGAACCAGTCAGGTCAGGGGCAGAGTTGAAGGTCCCAGACACAAGGGGAGAACAATGTACAACAACACACTGAAATTCCTTTTAAAAGCCAGCCTGACCAGACTGATAGAGACGATAAGAACCTTTGAACTTTCCTCTCTAAGATATCCTCTGAATCTGGAAGTGACGTGACGCCTGGAGGTCACCTTCCAGACACATACGAGACTGGTTTCTAAGATGCGCAGTATCATCCAGGAGTGTGAGCACTGTGCTCCTTTAAAGAATCCACAGTGTGAAATCACATGGCCAACATTTACCCCAAAGCAAACGTGAGAAAGGCAGGCAGGCAGACAGGGAAGCGATATTAATGGAAACAGAACAGAATGGAAATGTTGAGAGTATTAACGGCACGCTGGGGAAATCGAACCCATGGAACAGATCAATCTGTATAAAATTGTTCAATGTGAATGAATTTGTTGTGCAAAAGTTCACCTGAAACACAATAAAAATATTATTTGAAAGATTTTTAAATAACCCATAAGTTCTCTTTAATACCAAGAGGAGGCTGAATTAACGGTTCTTCCTGCAAAGTGTAAAAGTTATTTGATAAATTACTTAATATCTTTTTCCATGCAGAAGATCATAGGTCATGATACATAATATTACATAAAGAGATGATTATATATTTGGGGGGGATAAACTGATTGCTGCCATTGATCATTGAGCCTCTCCGTGATGGGTGATCTCTGTTACAGATTGCTACTGAAGCAATAGAAAACTTCCGAACTGTTGTTTCTCTGACTCGGGAGGAAAAGTTTGAAAATATGTATGGACACAGTTTGCAGGTACCATACAGGTAATCATCACTGGAGAGGGACATGGGAAGTGAGTGAGTTTTCAATTAGATTTGTGGCCAGGAAGACTACTTTGAAAAATAAAGAGGTGGAGAAAGTATCAGAAAAGATCCAGTTGGGAAGCCCTTGTCATTATCCCAGAGAGAAATGACAAGAGCTAAATGGGGACATGGCTGTTTAGTTGACACAGATATTGTAACACCAATAGGAAAAAGAGGAAGAGAAGATGCGGAGAATGATCGTCTGGTTTTAAGCTTGAGCAATGATCCCATATAATGAAATGGGAAATACAAGAGTGTGGGGGTCTGGTCAGAAAGAGTTCGTAATGCAACCTGAAATTTGGGGTTTGAGGCCACCAAGGCGGTGCTTCTTGTAATGCAGTTCCTTCTTCCTCTTTTTACCCTTTTCCCAACGGAAAACCCTCAGTTCTTCCTCCAGGAAATCCATCCTCGTGGGACCGTTTATGAGTGATGCCCCACTTCTCCAAGTCTGTTCTTCTGCAGTGAATGGAGGAGGCTGAACCTGAACTCTGGGTTCTCACACGTTTCTTCCCTCTTTTGGTTATAGTTAAAAAGAATCTAAACAACCGTTATCTTGGAGGCATTTCCGACCATGGCAACCCTCTGTCCCGGAGTAAACGACGCTCGACAAGCCACAGCCTTTTCAATGGCTGTCATCTTTTGGAAGTTGATCAGACAGGCCCTTCTTCTGAGGCTCCTCTGGGGGGGCTCCAACTGCAGCCTTTCAGGCAGGGATCTTGGGTAATAGAAGAGCCATTTGTTCTAAAGAAATTTTATTTGAAATCCAGTAAATGAAACAGATGAAAGCCGAGCTAAAGCCACAGGAGGAGCGTAGCCCCTTCCCCATCTGCTCCTTACACAGCATTAGACAGCAGTGAAGGAGCCATGTGAGTGCAGAGGTTACACCGCTGTAAGGTCGGTGGCGGTGGACGCACCCACTAGCTCTGTGAGAGAAAAGCTTGCAATTTACAAAGATTATCATCACAAAGATTATAGTCTAGAAAACCGTTTGGGACAGTTCTCTGGGAGTCTCTGGAGTCTGTGGGTTTGAATCAGCTTCCCGAACCCTGCCAAACAAGAACAACATAGCACTGAGTTCGTCGAGGTCAAAAATCCCAAGGCTGTCAAGCTCTCTGTCACACCTTCTCTAGCTTCCTCTTTTCTTCCCATGGCATGTTATTCATAAAGTACTTCCTTTACAACAACTCTTTTGTAGCCAACTCTTTTCCCAAGTCCTCCAGAGCAAGGACATAGGCCTTAATTCTCTTGACATCGACAATGGGCCACTTAGGCCCTACAGCTTGTAAGAGTTTTACAAATGTGCTGATGAACGTTCACGACGGAATATATACATGTTCTATGCACAGCGTGAGAAAGGACAGGCACTTTCATTTCCTAAGCTCCTAACAGGTTCTTTATGCTCACTGGCTCACTTTATCTTTCTATCAACCCTTGGATCTGTGGTTAATGCTACATGAAAGATACACAGCTTCAGAGACTAGGCAGTACGTGGTAAAGAGAGAATCCAAATGCAGTTCTTTGGAAACTATGCCAGGTTTTGCCTGCAGCACCTACCTCTGTGCCACGCTGAGGGAGGAAAGCCGAGTGCATTTTAATATGTCTTCTTTTCAGGAACTCTTTGAGGAAAGCGCAGATCTTTGGCATCACCTTTTCCATCACCCAGGCAATGATGTATTTCTCCTATGCTGCCTGTTTCCGGTTTGGTGCCTATTTGGTGGCACGTCAGATCATGGCGTATCAGGATGTTCTTTTGTGAGTATTGGATTCACATTTATGCTAATCTAGAAACGATGCTGAGGTGATGTGCCTGGTGCTTGGCGAGAAAGCCTCTATGTGAAAGCTCACTCATGGAATCTCCTGGTTCATTTTGCCTCTGAGTGTTGGCAGAGGCTGTTGAAGCACCTCTGCTTCGTTTAGGGGAGTAGTGACTTCCTCTTTCCTCAGTTCTGACACACACGTCTGACCTTTCAGTGTCTGTGGCTGGGTGGGCTGATTGAGAGGCTTCCAGAAGGCCTTGGCGTTTGTTTGGGAAGGAGTCTAACTCTAAGCTGACTCCCTTTAAAGAGCTTCCTGAGTGGAAGGAGCTAACAGAATATGGAACACTAAGTCCTTCCTGCCTGTACCATTCCTGGATATAAATGTCCTTGATAAGAGAACAGTTGGAAGGCAAGAATGGAGACATCAGAAAGGCACAAAGGGAAAAGGCTGGGTTTTCTGCTACCTAGCTGTCAAGCAGAGAGAGAAAGCAGCCGAGCTTAATGATTCTCCTGAAGTACTCACAGATGTACTTTGGTAGTGAACTGTGTGTATATCCTTCTACGCTTCCAGATTTGGTGATGGGTAAGATTCTAGTCTTTAATAACACCTCCCACCCCCAATAGCATCCCATAATTAGTAATAATAGAGAACAAATTGCTATTTTATATTTAAGCCAGAGTAACATAGGCCTAGCAATATTATGTATTCATACAATATTTCTGTATCTTATTTTGCTTAGGCAACCCCAACCGATAGAAATCGTGTGCTCAGCATGTAGGCATAACAAACGGCATGCACGTGGCTAACTCGTGAAGCGATCAAAGCCAGGCATCACGAGTTCTGGGTCTTGAATAGATGATCCTTTGGGATACTGGTTCTTTTCAAGAGAATATTGAAGTGCTGAATGTTGCTGGCATATAGATTTGGAAGCATCTAGAGGAAATCTGCCTGAAGAGGCCTTAGTTTCCAATGCTGCTGTGACAGCAATGCCACAAGTGGGTGGCTGTAATGCACAGAAATTGAGAAGTCTGAACTTAGTGTGTCAGCTCCAGGTGATGTGCCTTATATGATCTTTAGCCTTGGTAGTCCCGGCATCCCTCAGTTCTTTGGTCAGACTCATGTAGCACCTGTCTTCTCTCATTTGTTATTGCTTCGGTGTCTAGTGTGTTGGTTTTATAACTCAGAAGAGTTAGGTTCAGGACACACTGCCGTGACCTCACTACCACAACAAAAATGTTTACAAACAGGATTACATTCACCGACAAATAGGATTCCAACACGTATTTTGGTGGGACACAATTCAATCGATAAGCCCACTTGAGAATGAATCGACAGGATGGAATGATAACAATATGAATCATTGGTGTCATTTATTTAGAACTATTGAAAAACAAAACAAAAACAGTAGCACAGGCATAGTGCCCCCGGCAACGTAAATGACGGGCTCGGTATTCGGAGAGGGCTTCCCGTTATTTGGGTTGCAGACATAGAATTGTGCTGTGCTAAGACCAGCATGCCCAGAGAGGGGCAGCAGAATGGGGAGTGGGAAGAGTATCCAAATAAAAGACCTTTGTATAGTGTTCCAGGACTTGAAGGGCTGCGCAAAAGGATGTTGCGTTTTCTTCTACGTGAAAAAGTACTTTCTTGCAACCGAATTACTTTATCAAAGAACTTGCTACTTCCTAAAACAGGAAAACTGGTTAAGTGTCCAGGCACAAACATTGAGAGAGAGTGGTACTCGATTATCCACCAGGTCCTTTCCAACTTTACACTGTCACACTCCCCAAGCCCGGGCTTAAGAACGAGAGAATGCTATGTCCTCCGTCTGTAAGAAACCCCTTTCCCACGGTACACTTCGTTCAGGATGTAATCCAGCTTCGCTGGCCAGATCCATAACGAAGAAGCCTGGGCACACAGTGGTCAGAGTGCTCTGCTACTAACCAGGTCAGCAGTTCAACTCACTAGCCACGTTGTGGGAGAAAAATAGGGCCGTCTTCATCCACAAGGATCTGGGAAACCTTATGCGGCATTCTACTCTGCCCTTTCGGGTCATTGTGAGTCAAAATCAACTCAATGGTGGTGGATTTGGAATAACCAACCACTGAACTTCAGTGGCATGTAATGATCCACATTTATTTTGACTCATAAATCCATGGGTCAGCTTGGTCGTTGTTATACGGCTCTAAGCTGGTCCTAGCTGGGCTCCCTTAAGTACATCCGCAGTTAAGGACAGGCGCTCAGCTCTTTGTGAGTCTCTTGGCCTCCAGCAGGCTAAACGGAGTTTGCTCTTACCTTGGCATCAGAGCTCTGAGCGCTTCTGAGCGGGAGAGAACAAAGCACACAGGCCTCCCTGAGGCGCAGGGCTGCAAATGGAAAACATTCACTTCCCGCACATCCTGTTGGCCAAAATGAGTCAGAAGGCCAGCCCAGGTTCAAAGGGAGGAAAACAAACTCTCCTTCAATGGGAGTCCCATTGCGAGGATGCCAGGTCACAGAGGGAGTGCGGTGAAAACCGGGCCGGTTTTGTTGCCAGACTCTTTATTACATTGAAATGAACGTAAGATGTTTTTGTTTTGTTTAACATCTAGTTTCTGATTACTGGCGGCACTGTTGTGGTTGAGCGTGTCAGCCCTCATGCACTGCAGTCATGGCTCTAGGCACGTGTCTTACCTTTGTGTTCTGCAGGGTATTTTCAGCTATTGTCTTTGGGGCCATGGCAGTCGGGCAAGTCAGCTCCTTTGCGCCCGACTATGCCAAGGCCAAAGTGTCAGCCGCCCACATCATCATGATCATTGAGAAAACTCCAGTCATCGACAGCTACAGCACGGAAGGCCTGAAGCCGGTGAGCTCAGCATTGCCATTTCATAATCCCCTCCCAGCTCCTGAATGACAGTCTCACAAACGGAAATCTAATGCAATGTCTTTAATGCTGGTAGTCAAATAAGTGTTGCCTGGACATGCGTTCATTTTTCAAAAGACCAATAATAGATATTAACATCTAGTCCTTTTGTATATCAAAGTTACAGTGAGGGGGGACTCCTGCCCGCTCTCAAAGCAAATCCTATTAACCACGTTCTATTATATGTAGTCTTATCTAGTCTGAAGGAACGATAGGAGTTTGCACAGTAAATTTCAGCGACTGGATATGAAGCCCAAGGGGCTTGGAACTTGTTAGAACCAGTTAGTTGAGACCCTGCCGATGAAGCAAAATTAAAACAGATTTGAATTTTTAAAAATTAGGTGAAGCTAAAAGACAGCTGAGATGGGAAAAACTATGAACTGACCCCTGCTAGAAGCTAATCTCCCTCTCTTAAAAACTCAGGTAGAGTGCATGTTGCATAGCAACCAAATCTCTTGAACAACAGAGTCAGAAACAACCACTCTCTTTTCAGAGATGGCAGCCTGCTACCCGCTTTGCATGAGGACCACGCTCCTGAAGGGCTCGCTGTGCATTTTCCAAGGTTCCCTTTCCAGGGCTTCAACCTGGATTCTTTCCCCTCCGAGTTACCATTTTATTTTACCCAGATTTTACACATTTGGGCCCATCCCAGATTTGCTTCATCAGCCATGACCAAACTGAAAACCCGTTTAAAGCCCTGGGCGTAGCATAAGTTCACTACCTTCTGGCATGTGGTGGTAGAGGGCGATGGCTGCATGAAGGTGTTCTCAGGATTACAGTGATCAAATTGAATGTTGCTCTGATTCTAGGATAGGTTGGAAGGAAATGTGACATTTAATGAAGTCGTGTTCAACTACCCTACTCGGCCGGACATTCCAGTGCTCCAGGGACTGAACCTCTCGGTGAAGAAGGGCCAGACGCTGGCCCTGGTGGGCAGCAGTGGCTGTGGGAAGAGCACAGTGGTCCAGCTTCTGGAGCGCTTCTACGACCCCTTGGCTGGGAGAGTGGTGAGTGCACATTCACAATTAGTTCATTGCAGGCTGCAGCCCAATTACCTGGTTGTATTTTGCTATTGACTATACGCCATGCTTTCTCAAACACTGTCACATGCCACATACCCTGCTTGGGTAGATCTGTCATCTTAGAGTTGGTCTCCACCTGGAGCCATCTGCCCCAGCCTCTCTCTTAACAGGACTCCTTAACTGTCCTCTGTGAGCAGCCTTCTTACCACTGTCTCCTTTGCCTTAGTTAGGCCTGTGTCCAAGAGAAGAGCAGCAAAGGCTACTATGAAGGAAGCAGGAAGCTGGTAAAGGCAGGAGAAGAGACAGTTAAGGCAGAAGCCAATAGTAGAGTATGTCAGGAAGCAAAGATAAACACTGGAAAGAGAGGGTAAGATGAAAAGTGAGAACTCATGATAAGATTCAGATATTTAATTAATATTATATAAACTATAACTAATAAGATATTTCCAACTTTTAAATTATTCTCAGTGAAATGGTGCTTATAGCAAACCATTTAACAGGAGTGAAGTATAAAAGGAGGGAAAAGAGGTTTAAGTGACTATAGACCAGTGTTTCCCAAAGTGGGCAATACTGCTCCCTTGGGGTGGGGGGCCCCCAGAGGAGCTGAAAAAGCGGTCACCTACACATCTGCCCGCACGAGGCCCCGTCTCGGAAACTCACAGGGGAGTTCTAGTCTGTTCAACAGGGCTGCTACGAGTCGGCATGACTCAGTGGCAGTCAGTTTAGTTTGGTTTTGGGTTGTGTGCTATAATACAATTTTTTTTTAATTGTTAGGGTTGATGTAGAATTTTTTTCTGAAAGTGAGGCAGTAGGCCAAATAAGACTATCAAGAAGATTAAAGGTGAAAGAAAGAAAACAGGTAAGAATAGTAGCTTGTGTGATAAATAAAAGTTTAGGGAAAATTTTTAGTAAGATGAATTTTGAGCATTTTTATAACTGTGGATCAGAAAAAAAAGCAGTGACTATCATGTACTGGACCATGAGATAACTTCTAAGCACAAAAGAATGACATCAGCACATTTAGGAGGTGGGTTAAAAAATTGAGTGACTTCTCTTTTGTCTCCTGAATTACAAAGGATGAGTGAAGGGTCAGGTTTTTTTATTTAACATGCAGAAAACTTTTAATGAGAGCCTGTCAGGGGCCATCTCAGGTACTCAGGGATGAGATAGGAGGACTGAAGGGAGTAGTGAAAAATGTAAACAACTACAGTCTAAAATAGGAGAAGAATCCAACTGGAAAGAATAGAATTGGGAGCAAGGCATGTTCATTATGTAGGCACTTCGCGATTGGCTATACTAGGGAGAGTGTTAATGGTTCCTGTCGGTGTGGCAAGGCAGAGGTTCTGATGACACAGTGCCTAAAAGCGCAGCTGCTAACAGAGAGGTCAGCAGTTTGAACCCACCAGCCTTTCCACTGCTAAAGACGTAGTCCTCTCTTCCTGTAGCAATGACAGTCTTGGAAAGCCTAGCAGGCAGTTCTACTCTGTAGAGTCTCTGTGCCTCAGAACCGACTCCACAGCAACCGGTTTGGCATGGGTATCGACCCATCAGAATTCATGCTGGTTTCGGTAATGTCTCTATGGTGCAAATTGGCTGCTGAGAGCCATAGTTGAAACAATGATTGAAGTAGCAATTGAATTTTCAAACTAGGCTAGGGGGTCTTTTGCCTTTCCTACAACAATCATTTGCTCATAAAGACCTTCCATTTTCTTTAAAGACAGCTATGCCCGTGCTCAGTCTACGCTTTTAAGAACGATATCAGCCTTGCTCCTAGTTTTTAACTATGCTGTTCTATATTTTCTGTGAATTTTGCTTTTATGCTTCAATTCTGGGATTAAAGTTTGAACAAAGTATTGTAAATGAAGACTTCACTGACAAATGAAGAAACTAGAGGAGGTGAGCCCTAGTGGCCTTCTTGAGTAAATGCTGGACTGCTAACCCAAAGGATGGCAGTCCAAACCCACCAGCCACTGCATAGGAGAGAAATGAGGCTGTCTGCTCCAATAAAGATTTACAGCCTTGGAACACTACATAGGGTCACTGTGAGTTGGAATTAACTTTGTGCGTTTAGTTTGGGTTTTTTTTACTTCTTAAATACTGATTACGGTCCTCAAAAGATATACATCAGGTAGTGTGTCAAATGTTATTCTATTATGAGGCATAGAGCATGGTGTCTGCACTTAGCTGAGGAGATAAGTCATATGCATGTTATATTAAATATTAAATATGCAATGCACTGTGAGGGGAACAAACAAATCTATGTTGGAAGAAGTACAATCAAAATGCTCCTCTGAAGCAAAATAGAGAGACTTTGTCTGATGTACTTTGGGCTTATTATCAAGAAGGGCTAATCCCTGGCAAAGGACATTGTTCTTGGTCAAGGGTCATCCAAAAATAGGAGGACCGTCAACAAGATGGACTGAAAAACCGAGTTAGCTGAACCAGTGGGCTCGCGCACAGTGGTGAGGGTGGCCAAGGACACAGCAGTGCCTGGTTCTGCTGTGCACAGGCTTGCTGTCAGTTAGACTCAGTGGCACCTAACAACGCAGCGTACGAGGGGGTACCCCAAACCGCGATTTTCTTTCAAAGCTATGTATTTAATTTTTTTTTACAAAACTACCTTATCACCTTCAAAGTACTCCGTTACACTTAATACATTTGTCAAATCTGCTATTCCACTCTTGAAAGCATTTTTCAAACTCATCTGTTTGCCTGGCTGACAGCCCTGCCCTCGGTTCTCCTTCACCTCTTCAATGTCACCTCTTCAATGTCATCTCTTCAACGTCACCTCTTCAATGTCACCTCTTCAATGTCACCTCTTCAATGTCACCTCTTCAATGTCACCAAATCGTGTCCTTTCATGTCTCTCTTCATTTGCGGAAACAACAAAAAAGTCATATGGCATGAGATCGGGTGAGTCAGGTGTGTGGGGCAAGAGAGACAGCTTTTTTTTTTTTTGCCCCAAACTGGCACACTGAGATGGCTACAGGAGCAGGTGCATTGCTGTGGTGGCAAAACCAGTGCCCTGTCTGCCACAAATCAGACCTTTTTGGTCACACACTGTTAAGCTATCTTTTCAGCACCTCTAAATCAGTGGTTCTCAACCTGTGGGTCACAACTCCTTTGGGGGTCGAATGACCCTTTCATAAGGGTTTCCCAATTCATAACAGTAGCAAAATGACAGTGATGAAGTAGCAATGAAAACAATTTTATGGTTGGGTGGTCACCACAACATGAGGAACTGTATTAAAGGGTCATGTCATTAGGAAGGTTGAGAACCACTGCTCTAAATAGAAAGCTTGAATAACAGTCTGACCTGGTGGGATGAACGCCAAATGCACTATGAGTTGACATTTGCATCCTTTGGGGAAGTTGGAAGATGTCCAGAAAGAGGCTTGTCATCAATCAACATTTCACCTTTTTTTAAGAACAAGAAAACCACTGGTAGACCTGAGTTTTTACCAGAGTGCTGTCCTTGTCAGCTGTGTTCAGCATCACAACAGCTTCTGCGGCACTTTTTCCGAGCAGGAAACAAAATGCCACAGCCACATGCTGTTCTCTTCAATTGGCCATCATAAAAAATGAGGATCAAGGGACACCGCTTCCATGAAAAAATTCACCATGACCAGAGAGAACCTTCCCCGGAGATGCCACTGGGTGCACTGGATGCTTGCCTAGTGGGGGGGGAAATGCATACTATCAAAGCTCCGCCCAGTGAGCTTTTTTCTGGGTTTTTTGGGTACCCTCTCGTATGGCTTCCAACATTGTTCCCTGCCAAATGAGTGAGGAGGTCCTGTAGGACTAGGAGAGAGACCTCCATGAGTTTAATTAAGGAAAGGGGTGAGCCCATAACTGATTCTTAAGAAAAATTACAGGAAGGTGAGCCTTCAAGAAGGCATTCTTTGCAAGAGCTGCAGTTAGTAAGTGGTTAGTTTACAATGCAGAGAATAGGTTAGTTAGACTGAAATAGGAATATTCTCAAACTTTTGTGATCATAACCCATCTATGGAAAAAAAAAGTCCAAAAAATCTCATGACTATTCTGTACTCATAACTACTTTCTACTAGGTGAAAATCACTTGGTGGTAGTAAAATATTAAAATTGAAAATAACATTGATAAACAGCACACAAACATAAAGGTAACAATTAATAATTATCCTACAAATACTTAAATACAAGAAGAACATAATTAACAGCATGGCAATAAAGAAACAGATTAGGCATTTTGAGTTGTTAAGTATTGCAGAAAGTCAAGTACCTACAAAAGCATTGGAAGGACTGGGAGAATGGAGGAGGGCTGTTCTTACACGGTAAGATCACAGCACAGCATCTGCAGTCCATATCAAAAAAACAAAACTAGACTCTTCTTGCCAATGCAGAAAGTCCCATCTTCCAGAGGGTATGTGTCAGCTATCACTGAATCTAAGAGAGAATTAGCTTCTACCTCCAGATTTCATGTAGCATAATTCACTGGTAGGACATAAATTAGTTCTAGAAATAAGGGAGTCTAGGAAATATTTTTAGCCCTCCAGTTTCCAGAGACCCAAAAGAATATGGAATGCACATTGAGTAAACAGAAAACAGCTGTCTCAAGAATACATTGATATAGAAATCTCATCTATTGCAAAATACCCATTATTACTCTTGTGTATATTCGGTGGAACTTTGAAATATTACCAAGAAGGTGCACAGCAAATTGATTTATTGAGAAGACTCAAATCCAAACTCACTACCATTGAGTTGATTTCAACTTCTAACAACCCTTGAGGTTTCCAAGACTTTGAACTTCCTGGAGTAGACAACCTTACTTTCCTCCCTCAGCACGGCTGATGGGTTCAAACTTCTGATCTTGTAGGCATCAGCTCAGTGCATAGCACAGCCCACGACAACATCAGCAGAAACGGTCCCAATACTCAAATACCCATTTCTCAGTCTACCAATTTTTTAGTGAATATCTATTCACAACCTTTGATAAATCACTTAGT